CCAAAGGGAAGTGGGGTAAAGTCTAAATGCCGATGCTGTTAGTTCCTCTTTGGATAATAGATACTGTTACTAGTACTCTTGTAATCGGTTTAATATGTACTTTACTTTAGGTTTGTATTCCAGAATGGGTTTATTCTTGTTGTAATCGAATGATAATATTAATTTGCCAACATGAGAGTGTAAGAATTCAATGAGATTCCATTCTTTGTTAGATTCGAAGGGGAAGGCCACGTTGAGTTCTTAAGAATCATAATATATTTTTTTTCTGAATGATAATAGGAAAGGGAGAATGAGAAAAGGACCATAGGCACTGCAACTTTTTTATCAAGGATATACAAGCATAGGTTCCTAAGATAGTTTCAAGCAAAAATAAGAACTCCAACATTTTATATTTGCTTGTGTTGCATGGATTCTTCGTTATTTCCCTCACATGTTGGTTCCCGTGTCCTGTTTCAGTTCTGTATTGGTACGATAAAGGATGATTTTCTGGGTGTGATCAGTGATCCAGGCGCAAATGCTTGAAACGCGCACATACTTGACCTTTGTATATAGCTGCTCCTGTACCTTTTTGAGGAGAAGTGATGTTTTTTTCATGGTTGAAATATTGTAATAGAAGCTTCATGTAATTTCCTCTTTAGAACGAAGCCCAGATCGAGTTGATTTGTATCTGCAGCTAGATTCCAAGGTAAGGTTTGTCCTCCTTACTTGTACTTTCCTCTTTCCTTTTTGAGGTACCATTAATTTAAGTCCACACTGGTGTTCCGCCTGGGTGGAGATGTTCATCTCCAATTTATGCTTCTATATTTGAAAACATAAAAGGTTATATCTCTGGTTATGTGGGTTAATGATGCATTTCAACAGTGTTTTCAATTGAATGAGATATCTGTTGAGGGTCATATTTGTTGTTTTTCTCCTATTATGACCTTTTTGATTTCATGGAACAAATGAGCTTAAGGTTTGTGAACCAGTGACATCAAATAGGTAAGAATTCTGCTATTCTACTTTTAGGGATTGACGCTAATATGTTCTGCTCCGTTTAGAAAAGAATGGTACTACTATAAGCTTTTCATTGGACAGAAATCTTATTGCATGATTAAGACACAAGTTCCAAAAGTCTTTTTTTTTTGCATGTAAAGCAAACATAATATTTTGGGTTTGATTAGTAATCAAGCAAATATTTTTTAAAAAAAGATTTTAAGTTAGGCACTTGCCTTATGATCTATTTATTTATGTCAAATTAACCCAACTTATCTTGGCCTAAAACAAACTATGAGCAGGTTATATATTGACATGTTTTAATCCTTTCAAATTTTGTTCAGAATGATACCTATTCAACTGAAGTTTAATCACAAAGAAAAAGAAAACCAACAATTTTAGTTCCTAGTATAGTTAACATGGTGATGACACCCTGAAGCGGTAGAGTATTTCTCTTGAAATTAACAAGAACGCTTGGAAGTTTTGGTCTCTTGAAGCCTATAGATAACCTAGTCTGTTAAAGAAAATCATCTCCAATACTGAAAATCTTTGTTGTTAGTTTAATATGTTGCTCTATTCCTTCAAAGATTTATCCCAAAAAAGGCATTGTGGATAAAGTAACTCAATGGCACTTCTTAAAAACTTTGGCATTATTTGTATTATTTGTCCAAATTTATTACTTTTTCTCTCGTGTCTGAAATTGGAAAATTAGACGGGCAAATGATAGTGATGAACACTCAATAGAAAAGAATTTGTATTCAACTGAACAATAGTCTTGGAGAACCATCAAACACCAATTTAGATGGCAAAACAACTGCAACCCAAAAATTTAAAAAGGAAAAAAAACAAAGAATGAAGAATTAAATTTGGATATCGTGTCTTAAACTCATAATATGAGAACCCCTTGGTTATGGTGTGCTTGAGATGACTTCTGGGTAATAGGCGGATTGACTGCCTTACCCGTCATTGAAACACAAGATGAAGCCATGTCGGCCTTATGAACATGAAATACGAAAATCCAATAGTATCGAGGAGGTGGTGGTGGTGATGGTAAAGGAGGGGGTGAGTTATAGTAGTAAGGTGGTGGAGGCCGGAGGGTATGGTGGCGGTGGTGTCTTATAATCGTAGGAAGGATGCTCAAATTCCTTGGATGCAATTGGTTCCTTGTAATGATTTTCCTTTGACATAGCTGGTACTTTGTAGTAGTTATCTTTTGGTACTGATGGAATATGGTACATATATTTTTGTATATGAGTAATTACCTTGTAGTGATCATTTTTTTGTATCTTGTAATACCCTTTCTTAGACACTGATGGCACTTTGTAATAGTTTCTTGAAACTTAAGGCACCTTGTGATAGTTGTTAGACGCGGTGATCTTTTATAGTAGTCATTCTTTGATAAAAATGGTACCTTGTACTAATAATTAGACACTGAAGGTACCTTGTAGTAGTTATTTTTCCGAAGAGATGACTGCCTTCTAGTGGTCTTTTGGAACCGATGATCAGAATTTGTAGTGATCTTTAGGTACATTTGGGCTTTGGCACCTTGTCATAGCGAGATTTGGCTATATGTGGTACATTGGTGCAGTAATTTTTTGGTGCCTTCGACATCTTGTAGTGGTTCTTGGACACTTGTGGCACTTTGTAATTTGTCAAACTTGGCTGGTACGTTGTAGTAGTAATCTTGACTACTGCGCTTGGTACTTTATTGTAATGTGAAGCTGGTGGTTTATAATCACGTACTAATTCGAATTACCAGTTCAATTAAATTTGAATTGGCAAAAATTCAAGAACTTAGGGTCAAAATAGTTATCTACTTTAGATGGGGCTATTCTTTTCCCTGTTTGCTTAACCTTGATGGTATATAATAACCTTAGGCACATGTGACGCTTTATTAATTAGGAAAGGTGCTGACACTCGTTTAGCCGAGTTTTATCACCTTCCATCCTAAATGCGCATCACATGCAAGCTTCTTCTTCATCACATGCGTACCTTGGCTAATTTGAAGGGCAACTTGTTACAAGCATAGTGCTGAGTAAATCGATGTGTCAAAACTAAGACCGAAAGAGCCAAATGGGTTTTCCTTTTTATCGCGATTTTTTCATGTCTTATAAATATTTTGAATTATTAATTATTGTGACTTATAAAACTTTTTACGGTTATAAGAGAAATCAAATTATGTTGGATGTCTACTCTTCCTCCATGATCTTCTCAAATGCTTAATGACATATTCAATGACATATTTCTATGCTTAATGACATATTCAATGACATATTTTTATTCACTTTTCATGCCTATATAAATGCCTTGTAATAGATAGGAAAAACACACAATTGAAAAAGAAATAAGAATCTCTCTTACTCTCTATATCTCTTAGCTTGTTTTTCCTTGTTCGATATTGTTATTTTGAGTTATATTTATAACACGTTATCAACACGATTGTCACCTTCATTTTCACAATCACATCCTAGTTGTGTTCGATTCTCCTTCAGTTTCAATATGTCAAACTTGTCAAAGCTTGAATTCGTGGCACTAGACATTACCGGGAAGAATTATTTATCATGGGTCCTTGATGCTGAAATTCACCTTGACGCTAAAGGTCTTGGAAATACTATTATACAAGAAAATAAAGCATCAAATCAGGATAAAGCGAAGGCCATGATTTTCCTTCGTCATCATCTACATGAAGGGTTAAAAACTGAATATTTAACTGTAAAAGATCCACTTGAGTTATGGATTAATTTGAAGGATCGATATGACCACCTAAAACTTACGGTATTACCGAAAGCTCGGTATGAATGGATACATTTAAGGTTGCAAGACTTTAAAACCGTAAGTGAGTATAATTCGGCTATCTTTAAAGTAAGTTCTCTATTAAAATTATATGGAGACACTATCACAGATGAGGACTTATTAGAAAAAACATTTTCTACTTTTCACGCTTCAAATGTGGTGTTACAACAGCAATACCGTGAAAAGGGTTTTAAGAAATATTCTGAGTTAATCACATGCCTACTTGTGGCAGAGCAGAATAATACTCTATTAATGAAAAATCATGAAGCCCGTCCCACTGGGTCAGCACCATTCCCGGAAGTGAATGTTGTAGCAACATATGATAAGTCTGAAAGAAAACAACATAATTACTGTGGTCGTGGACATAGTCGTAGACGTGGACGTGGCAGGGGACGAAACAATTATCGTCATTATGATGGAAATAAACAGGAGAACAATAAGGGTTCTCAAATTAATCCTTCAAAAAGTAAAATTAGTATGTGTCACCGATGTGGTATGAAAGGTCATTAGGCACGCATTTGTCGTACGCCAGATTATTTTGTCAAACTTTATCAAGCCTCCCTTAGAAAGAAAGAAAATAATGTGGAGGCACACTTGACCTTTCAAAATAATGATGATGAAGCAGGTCCCTCAAACAAATATGATTCTGAGGCACATCTTGCATATAAAGATGATGATTTTGGAGGCCTAGCAAATATTACTCATTTAGAAGCTGGAGACTTCTTTGAGGATATTGACTGAAGAACTAATCATCTTACTGGGAATGAAGCTATAATAAAAGTTGTCATTTTGTTATGTTTGCAACTAGTTTATTTTTCTTAAGTGTATTTTCCTAATGTATCATGTGTTGCTAGTTTCTACATTCCTAATGTATTTTTTAATATATATTTTGTTTGTCTTTCATATTTCTTATAATGTACTTTTTGATTTTTTTTTAATGAAGAATATGAAATTTTTTCGGTCTTCAGTTGGACTCAAGATTAATAAAGATGATATATATTTTCTGGATAGTGCTACAACACACACTATTTTAAGAGATAAGAGATATTTCTCTTATTTGGTAATGAAAGAAGCCAATGTTAATATAATATCCGGTAGTACAAAATTAATTGAAGGTTCTGGAAGAGCCAATTTATTACTACCAGGAGGAATAAATTTGGCTATTGATGAAGCACTATATTGTAGTAAATCTCAAAGAAACTTATTAAGTTTCAAAGATATTCGCCAAAATGGCTACCATATTGAGACTACAAATGATGAAAAGATTGAATATCTTTATATTACTACAATAATGTCTGGTAAGAAATATGTGCTTGAAATGTTACCTGCTCTTTCCTCCGGCTTATACTACACAAGTATTAGCAAGATTGAAACGCATGCCATAGTAAATGAAAAGTTTACTAATCAAGATAATTTTATTATTTGGCATGACCGGTTGGGCCATCCTGGTTCTAATATGATGCGTAAAATAATTGAGAATTCACATGGACATGCAATGAAGAATCAGAAGATTCTTCAATTTAAGGAATTCTCTTGTGCTGCATGTTCTCAAGGAAAATTAATTATTAGACCATCAACTATTAAAGTTAGGATGGAATCCCCTGCATTTCTGGAACGTATACAGGGTGATATATGTGGGCCCATTCACCCTCCATGTGGACCATTCAAATATTATATGGTTTTGGTAGATGCATCTACAAGATGGTCACATGTGTGCTTACTATCAACTCGCAATATGGCACTTGTGAGATTGTTGGCTCAAATAATAAAGCTAAGAGCACAATTTTCAAATTATGCAATTAAGATAATTCGTCTTGATAATGCTGGTGAGTTTACATCCCAAGCCTTTAATGATTATTGTATATCAACTGGGATAACAATTGAGCATCAGGTTGCTCATGTTCATACACAAAATGGTCTAGCGGAATCATTGATCAAACGCCTCCAATTAATTGCTAGACCAATGATTATGAGAACAAAACTTCCCATTTCAATATGGGGTTATGCTATTTTACATGCAGTAATACTTGTGCGGATAAGGCCCACAAGTTATCATAAAGTCTCCCCATTGCAATTGGCTTTTGGTCAGGAGCCAAATATTTCTCATCTTAGAATCTTTGGTTGTGCGATATATGTTCTAATTACTCCACCACAACGCACAAAGATGGGTCTCCAAAGAAGATTGGGAGTATATGTTGGGTATGAATCTCCTTCTATTATAAAATATCTGGAGCCTATGACTGGAGATTTATTTACAGCAAGATTTTCTGATTGTCATTTTGATGAATCAGTATACGCAATATTAGGGGGAGAAAATAAGCAGCTGAGAAAGGAGATAGATTGGAATGTATTATCACTATCTAATTTAGATCCTCGAACAAATCAATGTGAACAAAGAGGTTCAAAAAATAATTCATTTGCAAAATATTGCAAATCAACTGCCAGATGCATTCACTGACCTACCAAGGGTGACTAAGTCACATATTCCAGCTGCTAATGCTCCAATTCGAGTGGATATCCCGGTAGGACAATTAATTAAAGCAAATAATTTTAAACCACGCTTGAAACGTGGTAGACCTATCGGTTCTAAGGATAAAAATCCTAGAAAAAGAAAAGAAGCAAATGATCAAAGTGATCATAATACAGAGGTAGTGACTCAAGAAGAGCACAAAGACATAACAAATGATAAAACCTCAAGGGAGATTCAGGTACCTGAAAATGATAAGAATAGAGAGATCTCAATAAGTTATGTCTTAACGGGAAAAAGATGAAACCGAAATAATATTGTTATCGATAACGTTTTTGCTTATAATGTCGCTATTGAAATAATACAACAAGATGAGGATCTTGAACCAAAATCTGTTGATGAATGTAGACAGAGAAATGATTGTCCAAAATGGGAAGATGCTATTCATGCAGAATTAACTTCACTTGCGAAACGTGAAGTTTTTGGGTCTGTAGTCCAAACACCAAATGGTGTTAAGCCTGTTGGCTATAAATGGATTTTTGTACGTAAAATGAAAGAGAAAAATGAGGTACAAAGATATAAGGCACGCATTGTTGCACAAGGATTTTCATAAAGGCCTGGTATCGATTATGAAGAGACGTATTCTCCTGTTATGGATGCTATAACGTTCCGTTATCTCATTAGTTTTGCTATCCATGAAAAGCTTGACATGAATTTAATGGATGTGGTTACAGCCTACCTTTACGGCTCACTTGATAATGAGATATACATGAAAATTCCCCAGGGATTTAAAATGCCTGACGCACATAATTCAAAGTCCCGAGAATGTTTTCAATCAAATTGCAAAGGTCTTTGTATGGTGTAAAGTAATCAGGTAGAATGTGGTATAATCGCCTTAATGAGTATTTATTAAAGAAAGATTATATAAATGATATTATTTGTCCATGTGTTTTTATAAAGAAAACAACATCAGAGTTTGTTGTACTTGCTGTATATGTTGATGACATAAACCTTATTGGAACTCCTACAGAACTCCAAAAGGCAATTGATTATTTAAAGAAGGAATTTGAGATGAAAGATCTCGGAAAAACAAAATTATGTCTTGGTTTGCAAATTGAACATTTGGCAAACGAGATTTTTGTTCATCAATCTGCCTACATAGAAAAGGTATTGAAATAGTTTTACATGGATGGAGCACATCCATTAAGTACTCCGATGATTGTTCGATCACTTGATGTGAATAAGGACCCGTTCCGACCTCAAGAAAAGAAGGAAGAACTTCTTGGTCCTGAAGTACAATATCTTAGTGCAATTGGTGCACTTATGTATCTTACTAACACTACAAGGTCTGACATAATTTTTCAGTTAATGTCTTAGCAAGATATAGCTCTGCTCCTACAATGAGACATTGGAATGGAATCAAACACATATTGCGGTATCTAAAAGGGACTATTGATATAGGGTTATTTTATGGCAATGATTATAGTCCCGATCTTGTTGGTTATTCCGATGCTGGGTATTTATCTGACCCACATAAGGCTCGATCTCAAACATGCTATGTGTTTATATATGGAGGCACTGCCATATCTTGGCGATCAACTAAGCAATCAATAGTGGCTACTTCATCTAATCATGCTGAGATAATTGCTATTCATGAAACAAGTCGAGAATGTGTATGGTTGAGGTATATAATACACCTTATTCGAGACAAGTGTGGTTTGAAGTGTGATAAATTACCCACAATTTTATATGAAGACAATGCAGCATGCATAGCCCAATTGAAAGGAGGATTCATAAAAGGGGATAAGACAAAGCACATTTCACCAAAGTTATTTTTCACACATGATCTTCAAAAGAATGGTGATATCAATGTGCAACAGATCCGTTCAAGTGATAATATGGCTGATTTGTTCACCAAATCTCTACCGACGTCAACCTTTAAGAAACTAGTGTACAAGATTGGGATGCGAAAGCTCAAGGATGTAAATTGATGCTCTCATCAGGGGGAGTTAATACGTGTTGTACTCTTTTTACCTTACAAGTTTTTGTCCCACTGGGTTTTCCTTGCAAGGTTTTTAATGAGGCAACCAAAAGGCGTATTTCTAAACATGTGTACTCTTTTTCCTTCACTATGATTTTTTTTTTCAATAGAATTTTTTCCTAATAAGGTTTTAGCGAGGCACATTATCTATGGACATCTAAGGGGGAGTGCTATAAGAGAAATCAAATTATGTTGGATGTCTACTCTTCCTCCATGATCTTCTCAAATGCTTAATGACATATTCAATGACATATTTTTATGCTTAATGACATATTCAATGACATATTTTTATTCACTTTTCATACTTATATTAAGGCCTTGTAATAGATAGGAAAAACACACAATTGAAGAAGAAATAAGAATCTCTCTTTCTCTCTTTCTCTCTCTATATCTCTTAGCTTGTTTTTCCTTGTTCGATATTGTTATTTTGAGTTATATTTATAACATTTACATTGTTTTCGAATATGTAAATTGTATTTTAAGAATCTTTGTAGTCAAAGTTAACTCGTTTAACTCTCGAAATTTGTGAACCGCCAAATAAGTTGAGACAGAGGAAGTACAAGAAACTTGAGGGACCTCATGCAAGCTTCTCTCCTTTTTTTTCCTTTTTCTTTTCTAGGTAAGATAATCAACAAGACACTTACCTCAATAAGCCCAAATCAATTCTCTAAAATGGCATTTTCTCTAAAAAGTCACGTTTGGCGGCTCAAATCTAGCCAAAATAACTCAATAACATCAAACAACGCTAAAAGAATCAATTTCAAACAATAAACTCCCAATCTTTACTCAATTCTCGAAAGCCAACGAAAATTCAACCCTGCGCCCACATGGTCAAAATCCTAGTTTATACTAAAAGAGGAAACTATTACAGTGTATGATTCGACGACTAATAACCCCACCTGTTGGGAATATACTAGGTTTTTTGTTGTTGTTGTTGTTGTTGTTGTTGTTGTTGTTGTTGTTGTTGTTGTTGATTCGACGACAAATAAGGATACCGGCTTCGTGTCGAAGACCAATTTGGTGTTTGAAAAATACAAAAAATCAAGTGCTTTTAAGCCAAAATACTAAAAACAAGCCAAAAAAAATAAATTGGTCTATCCCAACTTAGAGGGTATTTGGCTAAGCTTATAAGCACCTTTTGACTTATCTACGCGTTTGGTAAACAACCAAAGTGCTTATAAGTTAAAAGAAGCCATAAGTCATAAGTTGGTCACCCCCAACGTATGACTTTTCAGCTTATAAGTACTTTTAGTTTGACCATGACTTTTACGAGTTTATCCTTAATAATAATTTTTAATTCACAAAATATTTTTCCCAAAATAAATTTCCTAACTTTCTCTTCATTCCATATTTGTTGTTCATCTTTTTCATTACAAAGAAACTTTTTAATTCATAATCTTTTGTAAAGTTTTTAAGGATATTTTAGTCATTTTAATAAAAGAACAAATTATCAGCACGTTTCTACCATATACATCAACTGCTTATTATGAGTTTCAACACGTCTATCCAAACACGTAAATACTTATTTAAAAAATCAGTTTCAACACGTAAAAATACTTTTCAGCACGTCAAGCTTATCAGCTATTTACAATCAGCTAATCCAAACGGGCTCTAATATGATACACATTTATTGATTTGGTTCGATTTTTAAGAAATCTTGTGGAATTTCCTCTTTTTTTCTTTCTTGCAATCAAAATCCCCCCCCCCCCC